AAGTGATGCATAGTATAATTGCTCACCACTCAGTGACCAAGGCCTGTCCTGTCCCAGCTAACGATCCCAGAATAGTTAAGTCCTGACACCACAATTCTGGACAAAAAGAGAACGAGAGAGAGATAGCACTCCAAGAGATAAAAGAGTGAGACCTGTCGGAATAGCAAAAGCCCTTCTTTCCAATCAACCCGCATCTATATACTGGGCATGATGCTACATTATATGGAATAGTCTATTGGCCAATTTAGCCCTCAATCCTAAATCTAAGTTCAAGCCATAAGGGCAGTTGTGGACTCTCTGTCCCAGCCATGCTCCCCCCAAGCTGTTCTGCTCCTGCACACTTGAAAAACGTGAGAAGCTGAAAAGTCCTTGAGGCCTCAGTGCCAACTATAAACATCAGTGCACTGTCAAGATTCTTCTCATAACAAATTCCAGAGAAAAAGAAAAACACGGAGCTCTTCTAACTGCTAAAAAGAAGAACTGTCTCTGTCCCAGCCAAAACCAGGACACTTCAGCAAGCTTTTTGTATTGTTGAGGTCGTGCTCACTGACTAATTTTTCTTCCTGAAATGCATAAAATACATGGTTTTCTTGTGTATTTTGTAAAAAATCTTGAAGAGATTATTAATTAGGAAGCCACATATGTGGATGGGTATTAAATTCATTCTGATAGTATTTTTGAAAGTTACTTTGTGGTTGTAAAAGACTGTTTTTCTCACAAAAAATGTAGAAACTTTTTGCTTAGTCAAGATCATTCTTAAAAACTCTTTTATTAGCTTTAAATAATGAAAGACAGCTGAATTTTTTTGAAGAACAGAAAGTATTAAAAAAATAATCATTTCTGTACTTGTTTAAAAAAAAGGCATTCTCTGATTTTGTATGTTTAACCTGCTATTTTGTATTAAAAAATATGTTCAAATTAATTAATTACAAAAGTAATGAAATTATATGAAATTATAGGGAACAAATTTCTCAGTCATACATGTATTTATTATAAATTAATCTACAGATTCATTTGGGTTTTCAAGGTACAATCTTTAGAAATTAATTGTGTAATTTCCATCATTTCAGCATTAGCATCATTCTTATCTAAATCCTTCACTTACAGATTGCTACACCTTGTTTTAATTGCCTGGGCTCAGCCAGCTGTTACAGAAGCATTTTTACTTACCAGTGTCCTAAGAGTTGCAAGAACCTATACTAGCAAGTTAGACAAAATGTCAATAAAAATGGAATTGATGATATAGTCTGAATATGTTTTTCTTTTCGTATAGGGACCACGTGGCCCTGATGGTCTACCAGGTGAGCAAGGTCTGCCAGGAGAGGGCATTCAAGGCCAAAAGGTAGTTTTATGGAAATTAATTTTTTTAACATTGTGGGCCAAATTTGCAGTAGTGTCTAAGTTGTTTAAGATCACTAGTCATTCCACTGGTGTAAAATGTCAGCTGATAAGATTGTGGTCTTCTGAATCACTATGCTCTCTGAATATCCCTCTGAGTTCAGAAACTCTGTCAAGATAAATACAAAAAAAATGTTGTGCCGTCCCTCTAACAGTATTAAGTTAATTATTCTCTTATTTATGTGCTTGATGAGATACCTTATTTTGGTAGCACTAATGAGATAAATTGTCTTCTGAAAGACTACTTAGCTATTTATTTTCTGTATTGGAAGAAAACATTCAGGAACTGTTTCCATTCTGTCTTACCGTTTTGGGAAACTAAAAGATGGGTTGTATGAGTCTCTATGGACAGTTACCTCATTAAGGGCAGTTGCTAGGTTAATATATGTGAACCTTCCTGTTTTTAAAAACAAGTACAAACAAGCAAACATTTATGATTAAATCACAACTGAGTTTCCCATCAAAATGTATCCCTCTTTTTTAGTGGCTTCAAGATTCTCTAGAGCCTTGAACTACTAAGCAAAGAAGATTTTTTTTGCTCCTTTTATGGACAAGATTTCAGTCATGTCCTTGCACGAGGTTCTGAAGTGCTCTCTCTGACTAATGAACACGTTATCGCATTTTCAAAATGTAGCTTCCTTCTTCCTAGTGTTTCATTTTCTCCTTTTGAATTCCTGTGTTCAGCAACACAATGAATGCAGGTGAAGCATGTCATGAATTGTAACTGAATTGCTTTCCTCTAATACTGATAGGTCCATTGATTATCTTTCTTGTTTGTTTGTGAAGGGCTACTTTTTTCCTCATTATCCACATGGTTATGACCAGTTTGTCTAGGATGATGTCCTTTATAAATTTCCAAATATAGTTACAAAACTGTAACGTATTTCTAGGGTGAAAAAGGCTCTGAAGGTGTAGTTGGTCCTCCTGGACCACCAGGTCAACAAATCAAAGGTGACAAGGTAAGGAACAAAGCATCTTTCTAATTATGTCTATAGTTAGTCATATTTACAGTTAAATTAATGATGAATTATTCACACAATATCACAAAGGTATGTTTGAGGAACTGTGCTGCACTGTTCCATGCAGCTCTCTAGGCTGCACTCATCTATACAAGTAGCTGAGCCTGTTAATGTCAACTGAATTCTATGCAGCTGGGAGTATGAGGGAAGAAATAGACTTTTTTCCTTCTAAATTTATTTCAGAAATACTGTATTTAAAATATTTTAAATTTTATTTAAGTGTTTAAAAAAATATAGAAAACCCTTTGAGTCATCTAAACTAATGGACCTGGGACAGGTAAAGGAACACTCTGGCTTTTGAAATTTGTTGCCTTTTTGATGCCCTGTATCCCCAAGAGGGATCCAGAACAATTTTAAATCCCTTGGCCTGATGAGATTCCAGCCTGTATCTTGCACATCCCCAGAGAGTGGCTGATGAAACATGCCTAGAAGTCCTACAGAGCAGTGACAGTGATTCCAGATCTTCCTTCTCATGATTTAGTGCCGTAGCCGCCCTCCTACTCCCCATTGTTTTCCTTCCCTCCTGTCCCTACGACTCCTGCTGTCCTCGTTGCCCCACACTCAGCTGCAGTGAGAGGAGAGGACAGCACCCACATCCAAAGTTGTGGACAGCTTAGTCAGCAGGGAGTGCTCCACGGATGTGGGAAATTTAATTTGCACTTGCTCATCTCACTGTCCAGTCAAATAGCTCTCCAAGATCTTCAGAGCAACTTAGGTGGTGTGATGTGGTCTGATTTGGCCTGTCTGTGAGATATGTGCTCAGTGAGCACCTGCCAGACCATCTTACTTGAGGCCTTAGAGGAAGATTGTTATGTGTACAGGAATGAGCCATCTTATTCCCATTTCTGTATAGGAAAAACACAGCGATGGACAGGACAGTAAGCATTTGGAACCATTTCAGTAAATAAGTGTTTCTGGCATAAATGAAACTAATTATTTTTGTTTTCTAGGGACTGGTGTCACACATCCTTGGCACCTTCATGGATCTGTGCCACTTCCAATAGCCACATGACCTCTCCATATTCCTCTATTTCCATAATTCCCTCTGCCATAATTCCTCTGTTCCTTCTCCAAGTGCTGTACAATACTATTAGAATACCATATGACAAAGATTTTTCAAAAATACTCTCTAGCCACTCTGTTTACACTTGCAAGTTTTAATTCTGAGTGTTATGCAAGAAACTGTGTATATTTCCATACAAGGAAATCTTTAAAATTAGTCCCAGTATGTAAAGATAAGCTATGAATCCTTCTAATAATAGAATTGTAGTTGTGATCATCTAACATTATACATGAGATAGAGTTTGTAGGTAGGAAGGGGTATTATTTTTATTAGACCAATTGCCATAGGCAGACTTTTAGGTACTTCAGACATATTTAACTCAAACAGAAGCAGCAAACCAAGAAAACACAGATTGGGGACTGTTGCTCTGTGTTTAGTTTAAATATGTTAATCAGCTAGCATGGACTATTGCAATTTAGCTCTTAGGAAAATTTTTTGTATAGGGTGAACAAGGCCAAGTAGGACCACGGGGCCCAGCAGGACCACCAGGAATAGGCAATCCAGGAAGCCAGGTAAGTCTACATTTTGGACATGTAATGAGCATTTGCATGTACTTTTCATTTTATACTTTAACAAAGCTCTAATTTTGATGTGAAGACATTAAAAATCTTACAGTGATTTTTCATTTTAAAAAGTATCCAACTAGTTTTTAGGCAAAACTTGTAAATGTAAGTGATTCCAACTGATCTGAATGGTCTTAGAATCAAGCAAACAGAAAATTGATCTAATCTCCATAATAATTTGCATAGGAGATAAATCAGATGCATTGCTTGGATGATGACATAATATAGATAAGAGTTTCACAAGGTAAGAATCCACCACTTCTGAATTTCAAGGCCTTTGAAGCTTGAACACAGCCTTTAATAGCTGGATACAGAAAAACTGAAACATCCCAAAAGATCTTTTGGTCTTGGGTTTTTTTTTGAAAGAAGAGTTCATGCTTCCACCATGCTGTCCCAATGACTCAGGGCTTGGATGCAGATGCTGAGATGCTTCCCATTGGTTTTCTCCTTAAACAGTAACTGTCATTACACTTGCATACATCAGTGAAATCCACAGGATAGCGATAAAGGAAAAATAAAATAAAGATCTTGAAACTAAGCCTGAGGACAGGCAAGCAAATTGTTTTCTTTCAAAAATAAGATAAAATCATTATTAACTGAAAGATGGACACGTGGTGAATTTCAGATTAATGTAATGCACTAACTCATTTATTTTGCTTTGTAGGGTATACAGGGTCCACAAGGAAATCCTGGGGCAAAAGGATCTAAAGGTCTTGGTCTGCCAGGTCCAAAGGTAATGATTCAGACATTATTTTTAAAAAATAGCACCAGCAAGAAACAAGAAGGAACATATCTTTACCAGACTTTTCAAGAGTGTGTTTGATGAGATGAAAACGTAACTCTTCACTGGAGATAACAATTCACTTTTGAATCTTTGGGGGAAACTACCCATGCTATCAAGGTGTTCCCCAAATGGATCATATGGCTTCTGCTTAGTATCCAGCCCTTAATCTTTCTGGATGTGGATTAGAAAACATTAGTCACTGTAGCAAAAGCAGAGAGAAGTGCAATCATTTTCTTCTTGCCATTACTTTGGTGTGTAAGCAACAGTTACAGCAGCCATGTTT